CTGGGATGAAAGCATCCACCCGACTGATGCTCTGGGAGCGGCGGAAGGCAGATTCTAAGACAGACTCAGGATATCCACGTGATCGGAAGAAATTCATCATTTCATGGGCCCTACTGTGAAAGTAGGCATAATCGTCTAAGGTGCAAGAGTTGCGAGAAAGGAATGGCGTCCTTGCAAGACCGAGGATGAGCAGTCAGTCAGTAGCATGTCCCTTGTAGAACCATGCTCCCATAAAAACCCTCCGGAAAAATTCTCGACTACAAGCAAGCTGTCCCACATCCGATACACCCATCTGGAGATCATTCGCCACATCTTGACCTATCTTCTCTTTAGAGTTCTTCTGCCTAACAGCTGTGGGGATTTATAATATATGTGCTACCTAACAGCTGTAGGGATTTATAATATATGTGCTACCTAACAGCTGTGGGGATTTATAATATATGTGCTACCTAACAGCTGTAGGGATTTATAATATATGTGCTACCTAACAGCTGTGGGGATTTATAATATATGTGCTACCTAACAGCTGTAGGGATTTATAATATATGTGCTACCTAACAGCTGTAGGGATTTATAATATATGTGCTACCTAACAGCTGTGCGGCTTCGTGGCTAAGAGATTAGAGAAAGAAGTAAATAGTAGGTAACACTAGACAACATAACAATCGAAAGCTATAGTCACCATGTGGGCAATCGAACCTGTCACCTCCATGTGTTGTGTTTAGCTCGCTATGGCACCGTAACTATAGCATTCGACTGTTATGTTGTCTAGTATGTCTTTCAGTCTTTCTACTTCTTTCTTTGAGTGCCACTCAGTACAATGTCTGTTTGTTTATTATATTATATCATGTTTCTACGGCCTCTATGGTTCCCCCTTGAGCATAAAAATGCGTTCCCTGCGGCAGACAGTTTAAAAAAGATTCGTAGGCGTGGTTTTCAGACAATGGTTTGAGATTCTCGCAGTGGTAGATACTGGGCCTTGACAGCGGGATATTCCCTGAAGACAAAAGTGGTATACTGTAATCAATCTTCATTGTGGAAACTGCTCAAACTTTTTTCCACATCTGTTTTGTGCATGTCATGTTAATCCACCTAAATAGATTACCTCGATTAGTAGCGGATTAAAAATAAACTATAAACATTAATTAACTGGAGCCTGCACAGAATATAGAGAATTAAATGGTATGATATAATCACTTATGTAGAGCTTTGGGAAAGAACTGAACACATTTCAGTGACCAAGCGGTGAAGAAAAGTCGCCAACTTTGGACAGGACAAGTTGATAAAACATGAGAAGAGTATAACTAGATTGTCTTTCCACTGGAACCTAAGGGGCGTAGAAATAAAGGATGCACACACAAAAACTTATGGAGAAGGGAGCAACAGGGTGAGGTTAAAAAATATGGGGATGACATGGGGGAGCTGCATGCAGTAGCGAAGGACAGACGGACGTGATGTAAGTTGGTTGACAGCCTATGCTCCATTGGGGGTTAGAAAGACAGAAGAAGTAGCGGAACGAGGCGACCTGGCTGAGAACAAATCTCCGATGTACGCAAATTGTTATTTATCTCAGACGGGCAATCGATACTGATTTATTTGTTTATCAATTGTAGAGAAAGCATAGAAGACTGCATTAGGAAAGCAGCCGGGGGGGGGGGGGGGGGGGGGGGGGCTGTTAGATAAAATCAGAGACAGGAACTGCGAGGAACGAAGCGGGTCGTGCTGTGAATTCCTAGTCGTTCTAATCTCGGTGAAACTTGAAGTTTTAATGCAAGCTGTCCATTCTTCCAAGTGTCTGGATAAGCAAAGTGACACGCTATTAGAAGCAGAAAATGGCAAGGAGGAAATGGTCGATACGGTTCATAATTCACAGATTTGCGTCTATTTGGGGAGAGGTGGGGGGATAAAATAGAGGAGAGATAGAGAAAGAGAGACAAAGAGAACGCTCACAAGGAGAGATAATACACGGACGAAAAGATGGAACACTTAGATATATGGAAGTGACAGAGGAGATAGAAAAGAGGAGTTAATAGAAAATAGACACACAGAGAGAAATTATGTCTAGATGAAATGAGTGAGGACATACACACAAGAGAGAAAGAGAGAGAGAGAGAGAGAGAGAGAGAGAGAGAGAGAGAGAGAGAAGAAACATAAACTACAGAATGAAATATAGAAGGAGAAAAGACAGAGCAGAGAGTACAAACAGGAGCGTGTTGTGACAAAGAAAAAAATGTGAGAGAATAGAGGGGGGTGAGAAAGAGAGAGAGAGAGAAAACAGAGATAGAGAGAGAGAAAACCGAGGTAGAGAAAGAAAAAACATAACGGGGCGAACAGGAAGAAAAGAACAGAGAAATAGAGAACAAAGAAGAAGGCCACCAAGGGACAGAATAGAAAGCGAGATGTGTGTGTGAGAGAAAGAGAGAAAGAGGGAGAGAGAGAGAACTAAGTGCAAGTGAATGTCGTCAGAAAGAGGAGCGAGCGAGAATATATGATGAGAAAGAATCGCTTGCTAAAATATGTTTCAGCGAAAAACTAGACATTTCAACATAAAAACAATCATGTAATTCCATTCTCCTTCTCATGTTTTAGTTTCTTCATTAATTGCGACATTGGATTAAAACGACGTAAGGGCAGGTAAAAATGCAAAATCTTTAATTGCTGACATTATTCTATCAGGCATGTTTTTAACCTGCTGCCATATATTGTATTTTATTTTGTGTTTGCCAGAGCTATTTTTAAAGGTATTGTTTGACTTTCTAAAATCATTCTCAGCTGAAAACGTTAATTACCTAGCCTCATCTTATAACAGACACCGGCAATTATCTCATCCTACTCAAGGCAAAGTCAGTGACCTGAGGTTCATATCAATATTCATGACCTCATGATATACCAGAAAACATTAATTACTTGATCCAACACTGAAGTTAGTTATCTCATCCTACACCAGACAACGTAATTACCTCATCATACACCAGATAACATTAATTAACTCAACCTAAACCAGACAACGTTAATTACCTAATCCTACACCAGACGACGCTTATCTTACACTTCTCTTCTTCCTCTTCTTCTCTTCCACCTTTTACCTCATCGAAGTGTCGGGGGGAGATGTAACGTTCGTTGATGAGCTCTGTCAAGAGCACTATTAAGACTGATGTTCATTTCTGTAAGGCTGTTCTTAATGCCATCACTCCATATTTTCCGAGATCTTCCACTGGCTCTGTTCCCGTTGTAACGTTTTAGTGTGGCTCGCTGTGGTCGATAGTACCCGGGTATTCTTGTTAGGTGTCCAAACCACTTCATTTGTTGTTCTTTGATAATCTGTAAGACTGGCTTTATTCCTAGCATTCGAATGATTTCCTGATTTCGTATTCTGTCTTTCCTTGAAACTCCTGCAGCTCTTCTAAGGCATTTCATCTCTGTTGTCACAATTTTACGTTCATTGTTCCTACGCTTTTACGTTCCTACACTAGATAACGTTAATTACGTTTGCCTACACTAGACAACGTTAATTATCTAATCTTTGTGATATATTCAGTCATTACATTGTGGGATGCAATTTTTCGTTATTTTGAAGCTTCACCCTGGCTCTTGCCAGGGGCCGCATTGTAACCCGGTCATAAATATGGCCTAATGGTTGAACGCGGTTTCTGGGACCTCTCTACGGTGATCCTCATCCACATGGCGGCACTTTGTGTCATCGGGTGTTTATCGCTTGTGTGATGTCCTGGTGGGGTAAAATGTACTGCTACTAATCTAATCTTTTCCTGAACAACGTTCAATGCCTCATCCCACACTAGACGACGTTAATTACCTTATCCTACACCAGACAACTTTAATTACCTCATCCTACACCAGACAATGCTAATTACCTAAGCCTACACCAAATAACGTTAATTACTTTAGCCTACACTAAACAACGTTAATTTTCTAATCTTATTCTGGACCACGTTTAGTGCCTCATCCTACACAAAACAACGTTCTTCTTCTTCTTCTTCTTCACTTCCTCTTTTACCGCTGTGGGTGTCGAGGGAGATATAAGGTTCTGTTTCTATCGCTTCTGGCTGCCTCGACCATAGGCACATCGTGCTGTTGTAGAGTTTCTCTGATGTTATCCTTCCATCTTGCTATTGGTCTACCCCGTGCTCTACGTCCTTCTTCTCTTTCCATGTATGCTTTGTATGGTATGGTGTCACAAAGCATTCTCTCTAAGTGAGCAAACCATTTCACTTGCTGTCTTTGTATGTAATCCAAAATTGGTTCTGTGCAGACTTATTCTCTTATGATCTCATTCCTGATCTTATCTCTTATGGTCACTCCTACCGCCCTTCTCAGACATCTCATTTCCGTGGTTACTAATTTTCTTTTATGGTTTGTTGTGAGTGACCATGTCTGGCACTGGTAGCACAGAGTTGGAATAAATATGCTTTGAATAAGATGTCTCTTTGTGCTGATTGGGATTGTTTTATGCTGTAAGAGGGGGGCTAGCTGTCCCAATACTTTTTTTGCTTTACTGCATCTAATGTACAACGTTAATTACGTCATTCTTTCATTTTCTGACCCTTCTTTGTATTTTGTTATTTACATTATCAGACATCACATTTCAACTACCATCAAACGTTAATCGCCTTAATTATCTTACTATTGTGTCTATACTATATACTATACTCCATTCCCCCCCCCCCCCATCCCCCGCCTCCACCAACCACCCCCACAGAGACTGTTCACTAACTTACTTTTGACTGTTTGATAAGGTCTATCTATTTTGTTGTTAGCCATCATATGCGACTGACTTTATGTCTTCGTGTCTAAGGCCCGTCCAGTCTACCATATTTGTTATCCAAGTCTCTCTTGTCTCCTCTTGCATGGAACGGAGCCCTGTAGTGTGTTGCTAGGTGTGTAGTAGATTACATGTCCACGTCACGCATTTTCCTTCGTTATTAACTTTTTCGGTCCTAAATAAGATCATTATAAAATCTTGCTGTCATTTATTTTCACAGAACAACGGATAGAGAATAAATGCTCTTCAGAGAGATTTCACGTTTTAGACCAGGAGTTTGGAGTTCTGCGGTCGTCAGATTTTGATCCCACCAGAAGACATCTCAGAAACGACTGCAAATGGATTATCAACCCAATCAGAGGAAATGTAGTCAAAGTTACCGTGCATCTGGTCAGCACGAAGATTTCCAGAGCCGGTTGTGATCCGGGTGTGTTGAACATCACGTTTGAAGACTGCAGTAGCAGATCCACAATCTCCAGGTCGTTCTGTATTGTGGACGCTTCCAGTGTTGAGCTGATCTCATGTGGCCAGGTAAAGATCTGGAGTTCTTTGCCCCATGGAGAGGAGTCTGTGGACAGATTTATTGTGTCCTTTCAAAGTAAGTGATGTTACTGTACAGTTTATGGCTAGTCAAGTGTACTGTACAGCTTATAACTAAGTAGTCTGTAGAGCTTATGACAAAGTCAAGTGTACTGTGCAGCTTATAAGAAAGTCAGATGTACTCCACAATTTATTAGTAAGGTCAAGTGTACTGCAATTGATAAGTCAGTGAAGAGGATTTAAACAGCGAATCAATTGAACTGTACAGCTTATAACTAGTAAAGTGTACTGTACTGCTCATAGGTCAGTGAAGTGTACAATGCAGCTTATTAATAAGGTGAAATGTTCGCACATCAATAAGTAAGCCAACTGTGGTGTAAAGTTCATCAATCAGCCAAGTGTACCCTACAGTTTATAAGTAAAGTCAGGTGTACATACAGGTTATAATTAAGATCAAGTGTCGTACAGTTTACAAATGAGGTCAAAGGTACTCTGCGGCTTATGCGTCAGGTCAAGTGTCAGTAAAGAACCCTTTTCCACGCCTCTCAGGAGTATTGGGCATATAGGGCTAGACCTATATTTTATAGACCAAACGGCACTTGGTGGGTGATATGGTCAGCATCATGCCGGTGGCTTTTACTTCCCAGGACTGTAGCTGGTACCGACTTAAGGCTGGGTTGAATTAGGAGCTAAAGTCCTTTTTTTTTAAATCCTGCCTTTCAGGTCAGGTGTGCGTAGTTTATAAGTGAGTAAAACTTAAACTAGAGCACGTCTTCAACTCTTTTGGAATGTACTGTGTGTCTGGTTAAGTTTCGTATATGTATACACTAACTGGCACTGGATGGCTGAATTTTTTATTTTTATTTTTCACAATCAGAAATTAAAGTTGACATAAATTGTGTATATAAATTATGTTTTAAAAGGTACTACGTCAACATCATGTGCAGATCGGGCCTGTAATAATGTATCGTTTTTTTTTTGGTAGACAAACGCATACAGATGTTTTCATGTATACTATACCCAGTGGCGCAGGAAAATAAATAAATGAGGCGATGCAGATGAAACTCATTTTATACTCTGTGTTTGTAGATTATGTTGTATATTGGCTCTGAGACTACAGATGTCGACTGGGAAATTTAAAAAAATATATCCCTAGGGTAAATGTGAATATATTTAATATATTTGAATTGTAGCTAAACAGGCTTCTGGGAGCCAGCGTAGAGTAGTGGCTAGACATTCGCCTGCCCGCCGAATGTTTTGGGTTTGAATCAGCACTGAGTTGGATGTTTGTCAAACTGACCTCGGCTTCCATGTCGGCCTAGCAAGAAATAGGAACAGATAATGTCCTCTAATGTAAGGCGGCTGGTGTGGTGCTAACCATATCACCTAGCGAGTGCCGACTGGTCTAAATGTATGAGCCAAGTATTCTACGATAGATTCTTCACAAAGGTGCAAATAATCTGTGTTTTTTTTTTTTACCGAAATAAATGTCTATTTGGGAAGCTGCGTGGTATAGCGGCTGGACATTCGCATGCGAATCCGTTGGTCGTGGCTTCAAATTTGAACGCAGCTGGACTGTTTTCAAATATGACTGGTTTCTAGGTGGACCATCCCTAAATGGGTACCAGATAAACAGGTGTGATGTCGATCACATCCCCCCTTCGAGAACCGATTGGCCTAGCCCTATTTGCCCAATACGTATGAAGGCGCGGAAAAAGGTCCTTTACTTTTAATCTACTGGTTGTCTGTTGCAGCGAAAAATAAAATTATTGGCAGCTATTTAAGAGCTAACCGTGTAAGGAAGTAAATAACTTACATTAGGTTTTTTTTTTTTTTTTTTTTTTGCGAAATAATTATCTGGAAGCTAGAGGAATTTGGTTTTTATAAACGCAGGAAAACGATACCATTAGCTCTATCACTATCCCTGCCTGGTCCGGACTTCAAATCTGTAACTGTCCGTAGTCAAGTATATTTCAGGTTGAAGTGCACTTACCGGGATTTGTACAAGTTGAAATCTCATTATTGAAGTGTTTATCCTGCGGACTGCCACAAGGGAAGGGGCAAATTGCAATACAAACACAACAGAAAATATAACTGACAGATAAAGAGTGTCTTGGAGATATCTTGCAATAAATTTATGTCACGAAGAGAAGTGATTATTGGTACCACCAGGGAAAACATAATTATGTGGTCACGTCGTGGAAATATGGGGCTGAAGATAGGCAGTAAAATCTCGTTAACAAGAAGTCAGTAAGACGAACACAGGATTATCATAAACACAATTTTGGTTCTGGCAGGGTGTTCATGTAATATTACGTGTATTAGTCTCCCGGTAGAACGAATGTTTTTAACACGAACTCTTGATTTGTTGGTCCATAAGAATTCGTGTTAACAAGATTGTCTGACTGATCGATGATAGCAAGAGAAGAATCGGTGAAGAACTAATACTGAATTTTGTAGGTAGACGACAGATCAAATGGTTTGGCCATGTAGCACGATTGGCATGAAACAGGGCTGCACTATGAGCCAGAGGTCGACCACTCATAAGTATCAGACACTGAAAAGTATTATGTACGAAGCAAACAAAACGGCCCGTTCCAGAGATCTCTTCTTGTGGTGACGTTGCGAGGCATTCAAGGAGTAGATAAAAAAAGACGTAGAAGATTGTTGTGAATAATATTGGCTAGTTGGCCACCATGGCACGAGTGAACATCTGGCTGAACTCTTAACTAAATGTTTGAGGTAAATTCATTTAGTGTCTAAAGTGGAAAATTCACTGCTGTGATTCATTTTCTTGAATAACTCTCCTTCTTCACAATTAACACAACAGTTCTCTATTGCTACTTCCAACAATTTGTACATCAGAAATCATTATATTTTAATGTCCTATATACGAGTGTCCCTTTATTTAACTACTGGAAGTCCAACAATATTTACTTTATATCCAGGATATAACTCAAGCATCCCGAATGCAGAACCATCGGGTTTACCGAGCTGTGTTGCTCCAGGGTTGACAAGCACAACACACTTACAGCAACTGCCCATAGCCCCAATTCAGCTGTTTTCCAAAGCTCCAGTTGTGACGTCTCCAAGACTGCCAACTCTAACCCAGAATTATGGCCCCAGCGATGGCGTGTTTGAATACAGAGATGCTATGCTTGATGACGGTATGTGCACTCTTTTATGTTCCATTGTCATCTTTGCACTTAAAGGTGCGAAGTGTGATATTTACTAAGTCATATGATATTAATGTTTCTTCTCCCGGCGATTTCGTATTCTTTTGTGTTGATCTCGACAGGGTGTGAACACTGTCCTCTTCGATGGCAATGGCAAACTACTGAAAATTAGGTTGCCTACTAAAACCACACAACAGGCGATAAATGCTGAGGTTGGTCTGTGAAATCTTGTAGAAGATATACAACTAACTTTAACCTACTAATATGATATTAAGCAATAAACCCCCCACTCTTTCAGTTAGGGTTTACGCTACAACAGAATCCCACAGAATCGCAATGGTGGATGAAAGCTCTTGAGTGCATGACTTAAAACCAAATGGATTAAATCGCCAAGGAAGTTTTTCTCTGGACAAATTTGAACGCAAAAAATACCTTGAATGATGGATGGGATTCACAAACAGGAGCCGTTGACACATCAAGTCTTGCTAAGACCGAAGGAATTAATAAAAATTATTAACGACTAAGACCGTCACAAGTTGTATCTTTAATTTGAAATCTTCCACTTGCTTCAGTTTGACAGAGCAGGGAATTTTCATTTGAAGAGGTAGCGAGTATTTGAGTTTAAAGATGCTATTGTGTCTGGGTTTGATATTGTAATGCTTGTTTTACTAAAGCAAGCAAAAACATTATTGAAATAAGATGTCTGAGAATGGCTGCAGGAGTGACCAGGAGATATAACGCCAGGAATGAGATTGTAACAGGAATAGTCTGCACTGAGCCAATTCTAAAAATACATATAAAGATATATCTGTGTATAAGGCTCAAATAGTTGTTGTTTGTGTGTTTTTATGCTGGTTGGCGGTGGCTAACATCGGTGACTGATGTGCTTAAAACGGTCAAAACGAGGAACATTTGACACCTCTAGACTATTTATAAGAGTGTTCCAGAAAATCCCTAACGAAATCACGCGACTGACGAAATGAGGTGACTTTCGAGAGTTGTAACAAGTCTTGTTCCAGAAATTGAACTGTGCGTGCACATTTGTTTTACAGATCTGGCTTGCGCTCTGTTGGTTCCTTGCCTCTCAGGCAGATGCACTCCAGTTTCGAATTAGATCTTCAATTTTTCGACTTTTACCACATGCTTTTTATGGAGGCAGTGAGTCTGTTCTTGTTTTTCCTCATAATGGAGTCACATAACTCGTAAGGGGATTTTTCTTCTGTGTAATCATGTGAGAATAGTTTCATTAGGTCCCGTGGCAAACAAGACTCACAGGTCTGATATTTTCTCGTTCTCGTCTTTGGGTCCTGAAAAGGGCTTCAATCAGAACCTCGTTGTTCTTCGTCGCTGTTTTCCCCTTTATATTTTCCAGTTGACACCAGCAAGTTTATTTCTCCCTACGCAAGGCTCAGTAAACCTCAGCCGCCTACATCATTAGCATCGTCATTATGACCCTTTCGTCTAGTTCTTCATCATATAGGGTTGGCAGTCTAGAACTCCATTCCATTCTTGCATGTGCAGTTCTTTTGCTATCATTGATGAAATACAGGCCAGCACTTTTGGTCCGGCATCTCTCAAAACCGTTTTTATGACTTGTCTTGGATATCCTCGTTTCATCAGGGTGCTGAGTAGTCTCGAGGTATGGCATCCGCCTCGGGTGCTGGAGGTCCCGGGTATAAGCCCCGTTAAGGCTGGGATTTTTTCACTTGGACTTTTAGTAATTTTCCCTGGTCTCTGGAAAGTAAGACCGGACGCTCGTGTGTATCATTGCGCACGTACATAGTACCTTGGCAGTTGGAAATCGAAAAAAGAGTAGCCCAACGGCGCTGCCAGGGCAACATTTGGAGTTTAAAGTTTACCTAGAGTATTGCAGGTTCCTCGCCGGTGCAACGGAGTTCGTGCACTGCGCTAAGGTTCTTCAGACTTAGGCTTGAGTAAAAAGTAGAATGGAGCACTTATGGGTTACACCCGTGTGTCATGATATTTATCCGTTGAATAAACATACACATAAATATTTGTTTCCCATTTTAGTGCCTATTTATTGATTCTCTATCCGCTTCTCCTTATGATACACTCCGTGTATTGTCATCTGTCTTATAACTGTTGATAATAGTTTTCTACTCCTTCTTTGATCCTTCCCTCAGAAAACTTATATCAGGAAGCCGGTAGCCTCTATGGAAGCCAAATCACCATGTGTACCATACAGCTTTGTCTTCATTGTGGTTAGAACGGGTCAGACTGCGTCTCTGTTGGCAGCATACAGTGTTGGGGCGCAGGCATAACATTTTCTAGTGCCAAGCTGTCTTCATGTTTCCTTCACAGAAAGTTTTGAACATTTGTTGGCGAAATCCGTTGTGCCCTGTCCGTAATCTGATTTTTATGCAATATCCCCCTTTAGAAAGGCAACGAAGCGAGTCTTGAGGAGAGTATTTAGTGTGTGTATCCTTTCTTGGATACTAGATTGTATTAATGTTGATACTAGTGGTCGTCCAGACTTAATTCTCCACCTTCCTGGTTGCCTAAGTCTAAACTAATTAATCAGTTATGGGCTTCGTCCTGTTTCTTGATGGGCTGTCTTGTTAGTTTTTCTGTCCATTTATAGAATTCTTTGCATTTTTCTCAGAAACTACATTTTCTTCTGCATCATTGTGAAGATGTATTTATGTGTGGTTTATTTCCCTGCCATTTAGTAAAAAGTAAATATGTTATACCTTTGAAAATTACCTAAAATGAAAATACACTTATGAAAGAAAAAGTACACCGAATATAGCTGAATCGGTATTTGAAAAAAAAAAATGTTGAATTTTTAAAAGCCAAGTTCTCTAGAATAACAGACCAATTGGTATTCAATGGGTGATGTTGTCAGCATCACGCCGGCTGTCTTTAATTCTGAGGACTGACTGACTGACTTTCTACCCCACCAGGACATCACACAAGCGATAACCATCCGATGACACAAAGTGCCACCATGCAGATGAAGATCACCGTGGAGAGGTCCCAGAAACCGCGTTCAGACAATTGGCCATATTGATGGCCTGCCTTTATTGCGGCCCCTGGCAAAAGCCAGAGTGGGGCTTCAAATAACACAAAATTACGTTCTAAGAAGGACGTAACGGGAGTATATGCAACCGAATAAGCAATCTGAGGACTTTACTTGGCACCCATTTAAGGCTAGGTCGACCTGGCAGCCAAGGTCATTTTTTTAAGTCTGGTTCCGTTAAGACCTGACGCCACGATTTTTCGATCCGCAAGCTAGCGCCTAGCCGCTACACTACGGCAGCTGACTGATTGCAGTGTTCCAGTAATTATTATTTTGGCTCAAGAAATTCCTATTATACAAGTTACGGTGGCTCAGTGGCGTATGCTCTTGTCTGCTGGCTTGGTGATCTTCTGTTCGTATCTTCATTAAAGCTGATTAATTTTTTATTTGAACACGGAACTCCATTTAGCCTAAAATGTGAAATATACCAGAAAGTCAAAGGGGTCGTTGTTATACTGACCACACGGTCATCGAGTGCCGATTGGTCTATGCACACACGAGCATGGCAACATTTACCCAGTGCCTCTCAAGCTGTAGAGTCGAATCTTTCAATTGACTACTAAAGTTCCTCTTGTTTATTGCAGGTGTTACCGGTCCTGACAACAACACAAAGCCAAACAAATTATCTAAACATTTCAGTGAGTTTTTTTCAGTATGGTATCTGTTCGCTGTGTATGCCCACATGAAAGATAAACTGTGTTTCTTCGCAAGAAAATGTTTTATACTGTAGAACTATACACAGTGCTGATGTTGTTGTTGTTGTTTAAAATATATATGTTTTTGTTTGTCTAATGAATTTTTGAACTGAAATGCTACAAAGAAATTCTTAGAATATCGTGGACCAAGAAGAAGAAAAACGCCGATATCCCGCGTGATCTAAACATCAAGGAGAATTGCCTCATAAACAGCATCCTGTCCCGAAAGCAAGGGTGTTTTGGCCACGTCAAGTGACACGGTGGTCTGGAAAGAACGCTGATAGAGTGTGCATTTCCGTGCAAAGAGGTATAGCCCGACCTTTGCGAAGATGGATAGAGGACACTGAAAATGCACTGCCTTATGAAAGCACACATGGTTGAACAACTGGCTAGAGAAAGAGAAACTTTCAGGCGTGCCGCGAAGAGAGCGACTTTTTGTATAGTACATGCTGACTTATGCTGAAAAGGTGCGTTATTATGATGTGTGTCTAAGGAATAGGTGCAGTTAGAAACCACTATATGTCCATTCATCTACAGGAGATAATCATTTAGTGCACTAAGACCAAGGAATAAACTATCATCAGGGAAGGCTCGCTCATGGGCCACTCCTTCCAAGATTCAACGAACGAAGAGTCTGCTGACCGACACAAGAGAAGTAACTAACTAAGGAATAACTGGAATCCCTATTCTTCGAATCTGCTGACCGAGAGAAGTAGTGGGGTGGGGGGAATGGGTGGGCAGAGGAGACAGGGAGAGAAAGAACGAACGAACCGTATTTTTGAATGGTCACAAGTTGGCATGCAGGCCTTTCCAAAGACTCATCTTTAAAACATCAATGGCATTTTTATCTTTACGTATTAGGTTCATGCAGCAATTGGGAAGGGGGGGGGGGGCGGGAGATGTGGGGTGGGAAGGAAAAGGAAAGAATTCTGGACTCAATTAATATTGATTGTAGTTAATCAATCAGAGAAGCAATTAATCTGTCTAGAATTGTGTAGAGCAATTATGTGAGAAGAATCTCCTTCGTATAATTACCAGGAATCAATAAAACACGTCCAGTACGTTGTTTCTTTGAAATAGAGAAATAATAGTCGATCACGTGTGCTGCTCTACCTGAGACAGAAAGAGTTCAAGTATAAACGGGTTTTAATTGGTTTCAACTCTTGTGTAGTTAAGTAAGAAAGGGAAAGGAAAACAGGGAAGACCAAGAGAAACTCTGTGTAGAACCATCATCAGGGCAGACCATAGGTCTAATGAACATCCAAGACCTAAAACAGGTGGCGAAGAACCGCTTGAAATGGAGAGCTATGACCTCAGCCCTATGCACCGCCCTAGGCTCAAGAGGAAAGACTAAGTTAAGTAACCTCAGTTTCTAGCAGATAGCAGTCCGTGACTGTGTGGGGCGTTGAAACCTGGTTGCAGTAACAAAACTGTTTTGTGCTGAACTCACTTTGCTGTTCAATTGTACCAGAGGTCAGAGGTGTGATCACTTCAGTGGTGCAGAGAAGTGGCTACCTTTTAAATGGGGTGCAGTGACTTACTTCTGATTTGAGAGCAGCGACCATGTTGTTTTGTTAAAAAGTTCACTGAAATGAGAAAGCTGGGCTAGTGTAGTAGTTACACGTTTGACTACCGGCCCGAAGATTTCCGGACTGTACTTTGAAAATATGTGTCTTGCATCATTGCACGTTGATTGAATGGTGTAAAAGGAAAAGTGTCTAGTACTTTTTTTATGCACACATAGAGGAGATTCTTAAAGTCCATTCTGTTCTTTCGATAAATATCTAAAGTGAAATTATTTTGACAAAAATGATTGGAAAATGTAACTAAATTATACTTGTCATATCGTGTTGTCGCCATTTGGTCCACAATTATGAAGTAGCGCTCTCTTCATAAAATAAACGTACACAAAATTGGCTACCGAGGAACATCTTACATTCGCCCCTTCCAAAAACGCATTTGTCACACAGAAAATTGTTTTAAACTATGAAGTATGTTATGTTCGTATATAACGAACGGTTATGAAAGGTTATCAAAAGACCGGAACGAGCCTTTTCTTCTACATAAAAATCTCCAGCAGTGGCAAAAGAAACGTTAGAATTACAGGGGTTACCGTCGGTAAGCAACAAAGAAAAAAAAAAGAAGCAGTAGTAGAATGCCCTTATAGCAAAACCCACAGGGAGAGAAGTAGCTCTTACATGGACACCAGAGGGAAAGAGAAAACAGGGGCGCCCAAAAACAACATGGAGACGAACGATGGAAAGTGACCTGAGTGCGGCATCTTTGACATGGAAAAGTGCACTGAAGATTGCACAGGGCAGGAAAGCATGGAAAGACCTCTCTGAAGCCTCATGTGCCACTAGGCATAACGAGAACTGATGATGATGATGATGAATCTGGTGAGATGGGCATAGGGTGATCTGATCTGTATGCTATAGTAAAAGATTTGTTAGCGGGAGTTGATGTAGGACCTGTGCTCCGACTGGGCCTTTGAAGGACAGTAAAATAAAGGAATAAGAAGTTAATAAGTTTTATAGATTTTGATTATGTAGATTTAATATTTTCAGTTGTGTCATATTTATTTTCAGAGTTAATCGTCTTGTACATTTTCTTCGGCGTTGGTAATTATTGTGCTGACAGTAGCTCTGATTGCTGTCCTAGTAAGGTAGGTTGTCATGGATTCTTGTTCTTTTCATCCATTGTGTATTGAGACAACCATATTCTTCGCACTAATTTAAAAAGTTGCGTATCCTTTACAGGACTTTGCAGAACTAACCCTACCATTTTTTTGGCTGATGGGGTTTTTTCTAGGCAAATTTTACGTTCAGTATTTCGTCATTGCTTCTAAACGGTAACCTCTGTGATACATACATGGGGGGTAGGGAGAAACATTTTCACATGCTAGATGCCTGGGTGGGGAGGGGCGGGAGTGTAAAGGGGCCGAATCCCCAACCAGGCAGATTTTAGAAATTGACCATGGCTTCCATGTCGACCCAACCTATAATTAATACTAAGAAATGTCATGGGAAGCAAAGGCTGGTAACGATTTCACCGAGTGAGTAACAATCTATTTTAAAAAAAAATGAGCCCAGCATCTGACAAAAAATGCCATCAAGGCATGGACATAGGTGTTTTTACTAGAGCTTCAATGTGAGTGTCATTCTTATCATGATCATGTGCCTTGCCAGCTGGCGCGGTTAATTATGTCCTTTCACAAATTGCGATCACCAACAGCACGAATCGTTCCTTATGGTCGGTCAGTGCTGCAGTAGTGCCCAAAACTAGACTCTTTATGTCTATTGTCCTGCCTTGCTCAACCCTATCTCACAGTCATGCGGCTGACCCTGCTCTCTTCATTAATCCAGTAGAAGGTTGGGGTTTAAACCCCCGGCGAAAAAACTAGATGGGAAAACAAACAAGGTAAAAGGTGAAATTCGATTCAGTTGGCGAGCTGCTCGGTTGAGGGCATGGTGTGACACTGTCCTGTTAATGCCTAATGTATGTGCAGTGGGAGATGTATGTTGTAAAATACATACTCAGTGAAGAGCGAGTTTTCTGGTTGTAACATAACAGGTTAGTGTGCATTACACAATAATTCGCACACACCTGCTGGTTTGTCCTCTATTAATTATGATTACTTGCCTTATACATTTGTTGGGTGTCTGATTTGTTAGAGTTTGCCCGAACAACAGTTGTTTTTAATGGAACAGTTATGGTTTTCACTGGCACTTGTGAATGGAGCAGTTATAGTGGTGGTTGGGGAAAAGAAGGGGTGTGGGCGTAATTCATTTATGTTAAAGCTGGAACTCCAAATGACATCTTGATAACTTGAAGTATTAGTTTACCTGCTAAACCATAAATATGGTCTAATGGCTGAACGCGGTTTCTGAGACCTCTCCACGGTGATCTTCATCCACACACGGGTGTACGTGCCATGATAAAGGAATGTCAAAGTTTACTAGCGTTGTCGTCATTTATCTTCCTTTCCTTCCTTCTTTTGTCCCACCAGGACATCACACAAGCGATAAACACCCAATGACATAATATGCCACCATGTCGATGAGGATCACCGGGGAGAAGTCCCAGAAACCGTGTTCAGCCATTAGACCATATTTATGGCCGGGCTATATTGCGGCCCCTGGCGAGAGCCAGAGTAGGGCTTCAAATAACCAAAAATTGCATCTCACAAGGAGACGACTAGATAATATCTCCCTTTCCACAAATCTCTCCAGCGCATGTTCCAGTTTCTTCTCATAGTGTGGTTATAAAATTATTACTATTTCTTCGCTATGTTTGCGATATGTTGTATTCGGGTTCAGGGTGAGTGTATAAATTATTTTTTCATCAACAAGTAACATTTTCGTGGCTAAGCGGTTAAGACGATTACCTAGCGGAGACAGACTGGGCCATTTAGGATCAAACCCCTCGACATGAAGTCGATCTTCTACACTTAACTCCTTTAAACAAGTAAGATCAACTGACATTTTCCCCATCCACAGCTACTACAGACTCTCTCACGTGAAGACTCACAGAGGTGATTCCAGCGAAAGGGCTGCTCTATGTCCACCCCACGAAGATACGCCTTTGGATACATTTCAGAATCACACACTGGCAGATAATTGTGGTCCTTTAACATCAGAAACTACGTACGCCTTCAAACTGGGCCAAGACACCGACAAGGTAAGATTATATGCGAAATCTAAAGATGACAGAATGTTTTACAACATTCCAAGATTAAATGTTTCTATTTATTTCTTCGTCTTCTAGCGATCACGGCGTCCGTGGCTCAGGCGTGACGAGTCCGTTTCGCAATTCCAACGTACCGCGATCGAAACCCACTGCTGGCAGTGTGAATTATTATCATTGTATGGGGCGTCGCAGGTCGACCCAGACTAAAATGTGTACCAGGATGTATGTCCTGGGGAAGTAAAGACTGCCGGCGT